AATACAGTAGCAAATATTCTTACCAGTAACAATATCAAAATCTAACTTAGTTTGCAATCTACCACATCTATTGCACTTTGACAATTCATCATTCCAATACTTTTCTTCACATCTTTCATAAACTATGTCATCTGAAATTTATTCTCCAGTTACTTTGCTACGAGATCTTATTTGGTGAACAGATTTATTATTTTTGTTTTCAAATTTAGAGCAAAAATCACAAGTTTTTTTACTTTCTTTTTCCAATTCTAAAACTGTGTATTCCAGTTCTCTCATTATAATTTACTCACTATTTAGACTTAACTTCTATTTGAGCAATCACTTCTTGGTTGTGAAATTTTTCCCTTTTGATTAACTTTTGTAATTTTTGGAACTTAACTTTTGCTTTTGTTTTTAATTACTTAAAAATGTTCTGTTTAGTTGATAACTTGTTCTCTTCTACAAGTAAAGCAAATAAGGGTTTATTATCTAAGTAGAATGAATTTTTTAGATTTTCATTTTGTGTTTCACTATCAATTAATTGCTTGCTTAGTTTTTCTATTTTTTTGCTCTTTTGACTTGATTCTTTCTCCAACTTTTCAACTTGGACTTCTAGATGAGAAATCTTTTTACTAGCACTCTTGAGTTTCTTGTTTTTTTTTTTTATGTCTTCTGCTTGAGCTTTACTTCATTTTTCACCAGTTGCTATGACTTCCTTAACTTGTTCCTGTTCTATTTTTACTCTTTCTTCTAGCTCTTCTACCTCTGCTTCTAAATCTTTAATTTGTTCAATCTTGCTTCCTATAATATCTTTAAGAATTATATCCTTAGCAGGCTTGCCTCAAATATTACCTCCTTCTTCTATTTTAGAAAAAATATGAGCTCTTTGATTTCATAGTTTCCAATCTTTTTTCAATTCAGTGGCTAACTCAGTGTCTTCAAAGTAATCTATAATAATTCTTTCAACTACTTTTTCTAGATTCTTTACCTTCCCATTTATAGTTGTGCATAAGGCTATGTTAAAAACAAACAGTCATAAATTGATTTCTTAATGGTCTACTAATCAATTCTCTTAAATCTTGTTCAATATTCTTGCTACAATGAGGAAATCTTTCCCTCATATCTACCAATATTTGGTGAATTCTTTCTATTGCTTCTTGCTTAAATTCAACTTCCTCTTCTTCACTTACTTCTCCTAGATTTTTTAATTCAGTAATTTCTTGTTCTTTATTGAATAATTGCTTTTTCAATGTTTCAATTTCATTTAATAATTCTTTATTTGCTTGTTGTTGTTCATTTATAATGTTTACCATGATTTTTGTTAATAAATACTTAATATCTTTCTTTTTATAAAAGCATTATTAAGTATATAATTATTTTATTAGTTTATTTTTAAATTTTCTATTTGTTGTTAACATAAATTGGTTTTAGACAAGTAATATCTTTGAATTTATCTCTAATAAATGGACGAATATTATGATAAAGATATTCTTGCCTTTTATAATCCAAAGGAGGTGGTGCTAACACTAAAATAGATAAAGCTCTAATTTCTTTAAAAATATCTGCTTTCTTAGTTTTCAATAAATTAAACTTAACAAAAGATCTATTAGCAACTTCTTGAACTTTCACTGTACCAAAATTAGATGCTTCAAAAAGAAATGTTGATATTTCTGTATACTTGATAATTTCTTAAAATAAATTCCCAAAATTGCTTTAATATCTAAGTATTGAAAACCTTTTCCACCTTCATAACATTGAGTTTTATTCAATCCAGCTGGACTAGACTTTTTTATCACCTCAACCACATGGTCTAGATAATCTACTCTTGTTTTTCTGTAGAGTTTTTTAATCAGGCCAAAATTACCATCACATTTGAATTTGATATGTTCAGGAATCATGAAATTCAATTCAATACTTTCATAATAACCACAAATTACTAAATACAAGTAAAACCAAATAGTGGTGTTATTTTTGTTCTGTCTACCAGCATTATCACAAGTAATCTTTAAATGTTTTTCACCTTTGTTTAATTTCTTAATTCCATCAAAGATCAAACTAAGAGTTCCATTAGGACCTTTTCCTATAATTTCATTTTCATTAAGAACATAATTAATTTGTTCCCTTATTGCTTCATCTTGAATACCAAATAAATGAACTTTACATGGGCTAAGATAATAAATTTTACTTACTTGTTGATCTAAATGTGACACATGAACATTTTGGGCTCAATCATAATTATAATGAGCAGTAGCATCAATGTTGCAATACTGTGTTTTACCCTTGGAATAATGTTGATCAACTAGTTTTCTTTGTTCTTCTGCTAAATTGGTATTTTTATTATAATAATTTCTCTCTAATTTGGCCTTGAACAGATGTTCTTTAAATCTTTTGAGTAATTCTTTGGCTTCTTCTTTCTGACGAGCATTATAATGTAAACCATCTCTAAAATGCTGACAAGTATCACACAAGTCAGTCCTTGAACCCATAATTTGAATCTCTGGTGTCAATTGATGTCATAACTTTCTGAAGGCATCATATTTTAAGGATTTCAAATTACTAACTTTTTCCAGGCCAGCTAGAAAATCTCTGTGCACTGATTTATAACTCATTTCAGCTGGTAAGAATATGATTGATTAAGTTATTCTATTGATACTTCTTTCTGGACTTGATAATCCATAGACTTCTGCATAATTTTTCAGAAAATTTTTTACTACTTCAGTAACATTTTTATCAATTATCATCTTAGTTTTCCATTGAGGCATCCTTTTAATATTACCATGAATTCTTGGCAGGAGACCATTGTTTATCAGATGATTTCTAATATTTTCAAAATAAGTCTTACCAATTCCCAACATATTGAGATAAGTTTCTTGACAAAGGAGTGTATTGTGATCTCAATGATAGAAAGTTCTTTTATTAGATCTAGTTTTCTTCTTAAGGCGTCTACTGCTGCTTATTGACCTACCATCTATTGCTTTTAACTGGGCCATTAAAAATATGTCCTGTTCAGACTTGGAAAGAGCTTGAAAGGATTCTCTTAATTCTGCAAATTGTTCTTTGGGAATTCTTGAAGAACAACCACAATCACAACCTTTTTCTAAAAAATTTATTGCCTTTTGATATTCATTAGAACCATTATATTTATTATTACTTTTCATATACACCTACCCCTATATATATAATTTTATATTCACTTTGTAAGTTTTTTTATAATTATTTTAAAATTGAAGTATATATATTGTGAGATGAAAATTCCTTGTCTCACAACAATTACGTATTTTAGTAATTGTATGTCTTTCTTTAGAATAATATTTTATTCTAACAGTATCCAATTTACTTTGAGTTTGTTTAATTATTTATATGTTTTTTCCCTGTTAGTACCCTACTGACTCTGTGTTTATTTGGTTACATGCTTTGGTGTCTTGGCAGTAATCAGCTTGCTTAGGCTGTACCCTGTGAGTTATAAAGTAAGTGTTTTAACCTCTCTTCCGGCAACGATTTCCAGCATGTCACAATTATATTTTATAATATAGTTCAAGTATCTTCCTTGATACTTCTGATGTGTTTATATGGACGGTTCAGTATTTTTTTAAATGACCACATCTAGCTAGGGTTTCCTCTGTTTAGGCGTTTGCCTACAAAAAATAAAAATAAAGAAATAAAATTAAAGAAATATGTACAACTATGCTTATCAAAGACATCACCCTGGTAAAATAGTAATTAATTAATTAGTTATGAAAATATAATTTTCAAAGACAACAAGGTCAAGGTCAAGGTTAAGGTTAAGGTTAAGGACAGTGTATTTATTATGATAATATTATTTCAAGACAGAGATAATTAAAATTTTGAGTTAAAAACTAAAGATTACATGAAAGAGAAATTTACAACGTATTTATATATTTCAAAGGTTCTATCATCTAGGTCTACAATTTCTTTGAAATCCTAATTTATACTAATTAATATATTCCTCAATTAATAATTAAACCTTCTATTTAGAATTGTTTTCAAATAATTTTTAATTATCATGAGTCATGTAAAATTCTTTCATTTAAATATTATTCTGAAATTTGATCATCTGTTACATTTTAGAATGTTAGAATATTTATATTTCCAATATTTCTGTGAGTCAATTATTTTATTGGTGTTTGAATGAATTGGACTGATTTGATCACTTGATCAGTTTTTCTGATTTTATTTATTTGTAACTTTGTAAATCATTTTCAATTTATATATTAGTTTCCCGTGATTTATAATTTACTATTTTACAATATGAATGGAATTAATCTTAGATGAATCAGTGAAATAGGTTTAAGTAGATGATTTAAAAAATATGATTGTTCAGTAACTTATAAAGAGAAATTGAAAAATTTGGTCAACTGGTCTCATGAAAAATAATTATATGCAAAAATTTCATGTTTCCTGATTTTTTATTAATATTAATAAAGATTTACATTTATCAAAAAAAATTTTACAAATATTAAAAATCATTATTGTAAAAACATCTTTTAAAAAAATTTTACACATGTAAAAAAATGAATATCATTTAAATTGATCACCACTTGTATATTGATTAAATCATTAATACTAAGGAAATAGAATTATTAAAGCTAATGCCATTACAAAATGGAATAAAATAATAAATTTTTAAATACAATTAATTATATATTTTGGTTGATAAAAAACAAACTTAGCTTTTTTGTTGCTATTTAATCCTTTCCTTCTGTGAATATCTGCTCTATTAAGTATTCATGGTGATTATTATGATTATTAAATACATTTGATGTTGTCATTGACATAACGAAAAATTGCATCACCCAGGTAGTAATAATACCAAGGTCATGCATAAATGAAAATTTTAATAATGCATGTCTACCCAGATCTTTAAGGTTCATAAAATAAATTATTTTTCCTGATTATCAATTGTAGTTCCTTATGAATAATAAATCTGATGTTGATTGCAGGTATCAGATTTAATTAAAATTTCCTGTCACCAATGTGAAATAAGGTGTTCTCACACCTCCTCATGACTGTGAATTTTTTCCACAGATAAGGTAATCCAAACATGTTGGAAGGCTTTGGACAAAACTTTTCTTATCTTCTCCTGAGACCAAGTTTGGCTGTCACCATATGGGCATTGATCACTGATGAGGATCAGCATTTGTGTGATGATTGCTATTCCACTAAAATAAAGTTAGTGTCTGAAACTGGTTTGAAATTCTGCAGCTCAGGAGGTTGCAACCTGGGAAGTTGCTGTTTTGGATTTTTCCTGAATTCCAAGATTTGAGTTCTGGGTTGCTGTCTTATCAGTAGCATGCCTGCTCACCAACAACCCTACCCCATTTAAATAACAAATTCAGTTGGTCAAACAAAAAATTACCAAGAAACAGAAAATTTATAAAAACGATTAATTTATACAAAACATATCAAACAAAATCCAAACCATTTTATGACTTTTTTCTTATTGACCATATTGCTGACAAAGATATATATAATTATGTGATAATTTTAATCTATAGGACAAGGGACTGATTGGGCAAAAATCCGACCAGTCCCCTACCCAAAATTATAAATTGGTCAGTATCAAAGAAACAGAGAATGTATGAAAATGATTATATAAAATAAATACTATTTTATAACTTTCCTCTTAACATCAGAGCCTAAATGCAATTTCAGGGCTACCAACCCTGCTTTGAATTGCAACCTCCCGTGCTTGAAATGAGCTGCAGATTCTCTTAATATTCCTCCAGAGTTTGTGACCTGGTCACGGAGTCATCCTTAGAGGTAGGATCATTACAGTTGACTTGTCAGCCTCCTCTGGTCTAGTGCTGTGTAAAAAGATTAGTGAAAAGCGTCCTTGACGATGATGCAGTTTGGTAAACTCCAGGGCAGAGCGATCCCCCCTGGAATTCAGTTGTATCATTGTATCATCGAGGGATGCAAGTCAGATTAGCCTTGTGTATACGAGAAACATGTGAGAATGACTATAAAGTGTTAAGGTAGCGTGCGTGCTTCAACACTTGTCAAATTTCTGATAATCAACATTGCATATCAAATTGTTTCACTTCCTTGTATCGGTAATTATAATAATATTAATGTTATTATTGATTACGAAAAGCCAAATACCAATCATTCATTTACCATCTTAATGAGAATCTTATAATTACCTAGCAAGATCTGCTTCACGTTTGATTTAAAAGACATATAAATGCAAATTAAAAAAAAGTTACCTCTAGTTAGTTATTAACAAATTTCTTTTTAGAACCCAATTGTGCTAAACAACATCACTCGCGTTTGTCATCTGTCAAAAAATAAATTGTTTTTCCAAAAAAAACAACCAGTGTTGGCAATTTAACTGGTTCAAATCTTTTTTTTTTGAAACTATTAGTTAAATAACCAGTTAATTATATAGTAAATAACTTTGCAAGTTATTTTGTATATTAATAACTAAATTTAGACTAATCATGATCATCATATACAGTCAAACCTCAAAATTCGTTGAAATAAGATTACAAATTTATTGAAACACAAATTTAATTATAATTCGCTGAAACGAAGTTCGTTGAAACAATCTATGATTTTTTTAAAACCAAATCACGTGAAGATCCATTTTTGAAATTTTGAGTATGACGCACTAATGGGAGTCTTTAGACCTAGTCAACCATAGTCATTAATTAAAATCTGTAAAACTAAAGCAATTAATATACAAATATATGGCTATTTGTATTTCTTTTGTCAAGATTGTCAAGATTTTTCATAATAGACTGAACACAGGCTTTCTGTTTAAACTTAAAAATTATATGAAAATTTTCATTGGTCCTCCCTCGCTTAAAAAAGCAGCAGAGAACAAGTGCTACATTAACATTAAATAAAATCGAAACATCATATATATAAAAAAATGATTTGTTTTTTTAGATAAACTTTAAAAATAAAATGTTTTTATTAAAGCAAAGTATTTTGGCAAAAGGCAACAATTGTGGAGCTTTGGTAAAAGCCTACGTTTTATTTTTTTCGTAAGCAAAAGTTAGAACTAACTAGTGCGTGCTAACAATGATTGGTTGCTTTAGTAGGCAAGCAAAGGATAGTGTTATCGTAACCAAAAATGTAAGGCTGTTAAACAAGCTGTTTAAGTTGCTTTGTAAATAAACAAAGGTTGCAATTGGCTCAATAAAAAAGTGTAATAAATCGGTCACCTGATATTTTTTAAGTACCAAATACATTTTCTATTGTGTATACTTGTATCTTTTTTGCTTTTCTATTTGTCTAATGGTTTATCAATTAATTTTCGAATCTTTTTCTTCTTTCTCTGCGTCTTCTTTAACGCCCTCTTCAAAAGGTTCTGCTGAAAAATCGTCTAATTCTATTTGTTCTATATTACCATCTTCTAGAACCTCTATCAGAGAATCATTCAATTCAATTTTTATTAGAATTTATTTCTTAATTTTTGATTGATTACTTTCTTTTATCATTTGTTTTTTTGTTGTTTTAACGATGTAAATCGTGATATTTTATTGTTCAAAATTTACATAAACCAAAAAATACACAAACTCTCCCCGTAATACAAAAATGTATATCTTCTTTTTTTATAAAAATTGGAAAATTAAGCTTTACGCGTCTCACTTCAGAAACTGTGTAAAACATCAATCAAATTTTCGTCAAAAAAACCTACCAAAAATTTAACTAATTATTTTGCTACTTGTTATCATATTAATAACAATATTAATTAAATTTGTTTTAAACTTTTTTTTTTAATTACACCTCCACCATTTTCCTTCTCACAACCTCCATATCTTGAATATAGTTTTTTTGTTACCACTTTTAAAGTTTTAATTTATTATTTTTATATTAAAAAAAACTTTTCAAAAAAATTTTATTTTCTTTATTTTGGCTACGTCCTGGTGGCAAAAAAATTTTTTTCTCTTTCATTCATTTAAATTTTTTTGCTTGAAACTATCGATCACATGATAATATTGATATTTTATTGGTTCAAACTTTGTAACTAAACTAGTTTTTTTTTTTGAATAAATATATCTTCATACAATTACGTGTAATAAATAAGTCACGCATTATTGTTATAAGCCAATTAATTTTGATTTTTTTTTTTTTTTTGTAGATAATACATAAATGTGTATATATTATATAAAAAATGTAATCAAAATGCTCTAGAAAATTAAATCATCTGTTAACTTACTTTCCAACATATATAATCATAAATAAAAATAAATGTAAAATATATTCATTATCTTACGAAACAATTTATCAAATCTTTTCAACCCTTTTCTTTATAAGTGATAATAGCAAAAAAGGCTTGTACAACTATTTACAAGTATATAGTTATTGGTGTCAAATAATCTTGTCAATATTATGGGAAAATCCATTTAAAAGTTTTTTATATGTTAAATATAAACATGATGTTAAATTGGAGGCTTTGTTTATCAGAACTTGTATTATGTGTTTGCAAGAAGAAGCAAAGGTTGATTCACTAGTGAAAAATAAAAGAATCACTAGTAAAAATAGCAAAAAAGAAGATTTGGACAAGAGTTTGTCATTGTTGATTTTTAAAAAACCTTTATTTAATTATATTAAATTTATAAAAGTTTTAGATTATGTAAGATTATACGAGTATGTCAATCCTTGAATTAAACAATATAGTGATGATGGTCATAATTATGAAGGTAATGGCAAATAAGAAGATAAACATGAATTAAAAAATTTAATACTTTATCAAGAACTTTGTAATTTAATTCTATCAACAACAACAACAACAACAACTACAAATTCTACAAACTCAAGAAATCAAAATAAATCAGCATCATCATCATCACTTAAACATTATTTTCACAATTATTATGGAAATTTTTCTAAAAGAATTATTACAATATTATCAATGGCAATGATTATCATTATGATAAATACTTTAAATATCCAAAGTATTTATTGGAGGGATTTCATGAAAAGATTGATGAATTAGAATGTTTAACATTAACAGATTTTAAATATCCTAAATTTTGGAAACAATTTTAACAAAAAATTAAAAAAATTAAAAATTTGATGATTTTATTTGAAAAGTTTGCTATTGCTAAAAATGAAAGAAAGTAGTTTGAAAATAGCCAATTTAATTAGAAATATTGAAGGTTTAGAATCATTATCAATTATAAGCATGGTAAATAAAGACAACAATAACCTTAATTATACTTGTGACAACAACAAATCAAGAATTGATGGCATTTTAAGAGCAATTGAATATAAGGCTCAGTTTATTAAGGAGTTAACAATTGAATTTGTTCCAATAAAAATATTTATAAATTGTAAAAATTTAGAAATTTTCATAATTAAAGATAAATGTTGTTATGGAAAAAAGGATCAAGCAAGCATTTACTGGGATGATGGTGATGATATTGGAAATTTCAGAAATTTAAAAGTTTTAAACTTTAAACAAAATATAATTGATTTTGAAAATGTTGTGAAATTAATTAAAAAAACAAATTATAATCTTTTAAACATTAAATTAACCTGGGGAGTGAAAAGGAAACTATCATCATCATCAAACATTTATAATCATAACACTGCCTCAAACTATAACAATTTATTTGACACAATAACAAAATACTGTCCAAATCTAAATTATATAAGTTTACAAATAAATAATGAAACATTTAGAGATTTGTTTTGTATTTCAAATCATGTAAAAACCTAAAGAATGTTGATTTGAATAGCGAAGCATATTTTGAAATGAAAATATGGGATATCAGTAAAGATATGAAAGAATTTGGTCAGGTAATTAATGTCAAATCTCTAATTAAAGTGAAATTTGATTCTAGAATAAATATTAGTAATGATGGAATTAAAGATTTCTTACAGTCTGTTGAAGAGAATTTCAATTTGAATAATAACATTAGCAACCAGAAATTTATTGTTGAAAAGCCTTTGGTTTATAATGAAAATCTTGTATTTAGAAAACAATTTATTCATAAATAATACAGTGCAGAAGCTCTATAATAGGAACAAATGTTGCCTTTCTTTAAAAGGGTATAGATTGCTCAAAAAAAATTTTTAAAAAAGTACTCCATAATTTTGATAGCTAATGACCTTAACTTTAAAACTTATGGATTAGAAATTTTTTTTTTTTTTTTATATAGAATTTGGATCCAAAATTGAGACTAAGTGTTTTCGTGGAACAGAATTTTTTATTGCATTTTTAAATGATCTTATTAACACAAAATTTCATTAATTTTTAATTAATAAAATAAAATAGTTTATTATAAAAATATAAAAAGCCGATTTGTGAAAGACAACATATATATATAAATATGAATTGTAACCAAATTTATATATGAAAAATACCAAAGTTATTAAAACTACAGTATATATAACTGGTGATGTTTATTATTACTCACTGAATGGGTGTCGATGAAATGGGTGTCGACGAAGTAAACGCCTCCCCTTAAATCCCCGGTGTGAGTATTTAGACCTTTTGCAATACTTATAAATGGACGAATTACAAGTGCACGAAGAATCTTCACAGCGATCACTTGCTAAGAAAAATTCACACTATGTATAGTAAATTGGAATCACTCTGCATACAAGTATACACAGTTAAAAATTCAAATCCTGATATAGGCAAATCTTTATATTTTTCAAGTGAAAACTTATTATTTTAGGCATTATAAGCAATGATAAAACAAATAAAAATGTCTAATATAAATGCTACTTTATTAAACTATATATATACTTCTGCGCCATTAACTGCTTTAAGTTTCATTTATAGAATCAAAAGTCATGAAATATTCATTTATTTAAAAAGACCTTAATTGATTCGTGTTTTTTTTAGTTTCTTCGTCTTACTTTCAGGGGTGTGAATCATCCGTGTTGTCATTTTAATAGCTTCAACCCTACTATCTTTATTCCATAGAAAGTCTCGTATAGTTTTTGAGCTTTCAGATAATAGGCACTAATTCACGAGAAACTAAAATGTTAATTTGAGTCTTCCGTATTTTGTTTCTTCTGAAATCTATCTATACCAACCTCATACTTCAACAAGCCCATTACAGTTTCATGGGCCTTTGCCATGTCTGTCCATGTCTTAGGTAAGGAAAATGTTAATGTTGCTTCCATAGTATAAATCTCGGTATATTTGAGTTGAAATTCGTAAATGGTTAACTCATTTACTGTTAAAACACAGAATTAGTAAGACATGATAACAACAATTATAGGCGAAGAATATTTAGAACTTACAATATGACTGTAATCCATATAACCTGACCAGAGTAATGTCAGAACTCGGACTAAGCTCTGCAAACTGATTCATTAAAGTTTTTAACATCATCGTGATCTTCATCCGATCACCCTTAAAGTGTGCCCAATCATTTTTTATCGGAGGTCCACTGACTTCAGTTACAGAAAATTCTTTATCTTCTTCTCTCATGGAAATAATAGTATCTATTTTCTTTCCACTAGATCGGCGTTCGTCATCTGTTTTTTGAGAATTACCATCTTTTGCACTCGCCTTGAGGCAAGTTTCTCCGTATGATGCAAGCCAATCTTTTTTATTTTTAATGAAGAAGTAACCGAGAATGGGTGCTAAAACATTAACGATATATGTTCCCTCAGACATAGGATCAAGAAACAAATTCACATCTTCCATTAATTCTATCCTATATAAGGTTGGTCTCATTAGCATCATCAGACTCCTCCAATGAAGATCAAATAAATATACTCACATACGACTCACAAAATGCAACGCGAAGCTCTTTTCAAATGAAGAAATAGTTTCTTCTTTCCGTCGATTAAGTTTCTCCTTAGTCTTTTTTATATCACGATCAATAATACTATCAAGAAATAATTTAATCTCTTGCTCCATATTATCTTTTGTTTTTTCTTCTTTCTTCCTTATATCGTTACGCATCTGTACAATGATACTTTTATCTAATGTCCCTAAGAAACCATCCTTGTCATTAGAATTGAAGAAAATAACGTCATAATACTCTGGTTTCGTTTTCGATGGATTTTTATCAAGCTGGTATTGTGTCAGCCTTTCTCTTATATGGATCCCATTAACGATCCAATCTGTGCTTTTGCCACCGATAATTGTTATATCAGCATTAAATTCGTCATCCTCCTCTTCTATGTCACGGCCATGCTTAGTTCCTTGTAAGCCAGCTACAAAAGGATTCGGTTCTGGTTGATTATAAATATGTGGGACCTTTGCAATAGAAAAGGGGGAAACGGCCAGAAAAAACAATTTTACTTTTATATGCCAAATATGATTTTTAGGTCAAAATATGTTCAGAATGCCAAATATGATTTTTAGGTCAAAATATGTTCAGATTTAGCATTAACTCATTTTTTATTTTTCCGGCCGTTTCCCCCTTTTCTATTGCAAAGGTCCCATGTATTGGGAAAGTGTTGTAGAATGAATTTTCTTGTTCCTCATCATCTTCCGGCGTAATATGTCGTTCTGGTGTATAGTATTGGGTATTAGGCCTCCGCCCACGTATGATCTCGGTAATTTCTTCTTGTACCATTTTCGATTGGGATCCAACTTCCTGTGCTGTGGTACACAACAGTTTGGCCTAGTAAAGTGTAGCATTAATTAGAAAATCATAAGAAAAGAAAGGCACAACACCATGCTTAACAGATGGGCATACATGTTGAAGTGCCGTGCGTTCAATCAACATATCTTTTTCCTTTTGAAAGATCATCTTTTTGTTCTCAAGGGTCATTAGCTTTAACTTGGGAAAGGAAGAAAAAATGTTTAACAAAAGATATAAACCTGATGAGAATCAATGAAAATACGATATTTACCTCTTTCTTTTCTTGGGCGATGGTATGCCAAAAATAGAAGACATTTTCTCCGCTGGCTTCATCCTGACATAATAAAATGTGCAAAAATTAACACATGAACAGTAAACATATCGAGTACAAATAGTTCATCACGATTGTCGAGCGTTGTGATGTGGTGGCCAACATCAAACATGATAGTCATCAACAACTTGACCTAGAACAGTTATATCACTGTTCAGATTGTCAAGCGTTGTGATGTGGTATAACGTGATAGTCAACCTGGGATATCTGCTTCCAAACCCATCTTCGCCCGCAATAATGAATACTTGCGGGCAAAAGATGGCCAACATCGAACATGATAGTTCATCAATGACCTAACCTAGAACAGTGGTATCTTCGTTCAAATTGTCAAGCATTGTGATGCTAGTATAACACGCATAGTCAACTTGGAGGTGCTTGCATACCCAAGGCCCACCTCTTACCCTACAGAAATTTTATTACTTAACTGTAAATGCTTTTAGAGCAGAAAATGCTTTAGATTGATGTTCGCTTGAGCCACTGCTTGTAAGCATGCCAAGGGTCTTAACATACGTGTTGTGCTCCTTCACTTTATCCGCCGTCCAATTCTCTTCTTTCCGACGAAAGTTCAAAAAGTCCATAAGCGTCCAATCCAAACATTCTGCAAAAAAGTTCGTTTTCATTTTCAACACGAAGTGGTTTTAAAAAAATTGTGGTGTATACGTACTAAAAGAGCATAGATAAAATAAAAATCTGTTGATTGGTTAATTTTTTAAAAACGAATATAAATACTCTCTTATGAACAAAATACTTTAGTGTAAAATGTTATTTTTTTTTCTCATCTATCAATCTGTGTAATCTTATATATAATCTAAAAAAATAAAATACAGTTAGTCTATTTATTATCAATCGATAATCATTTGTGAGTTGTTACTGTTACAGATATTATTGATCAACCAATCACATAAAATAATTGCAATTCATACTAACACCTCATTTTTCGGCTCGTAACCGGTTGCCAGAATTACCAGCGGCCAAAAATTCTGCCAGGATATTAAATACCGTAAACTGCCATGAATAAGCAACGAGCTTTTGACAAAAATTCGACTCAAATCAAGAATTGCTTGCTTAATTTGTTGTTTATTCATGGTTGAATTTATTTTTAGAATATGTACTACGTAGATCATATACTTTTTTAATTATTTATTTCTAATACAGTCAGGAATTTTGTAATTTTATGCAGATCCTTTCGTTAAAAACAATCTTTTAATATTAAAGAAAAAGAAAAACATGGCGAGAGCTTTATTCACTGGTCATATAACTTCTAAACTGTAGGATTAAGCAATATAAGGATGACGATTTCATGATTTAACATATAGTATATTATCCTGATAGATAATTTTAATATTGTGTAGAAATTCAATAATAGCTATTTAATAAAAATAATAAATTAATATTGTGTATTTATAATTATAATAATAACCACATCAAATGTAATATATATGCGCACATAAAAATCAGTAACCTGATAAGTGATTTAATCCACAATAAAAATAATCAATTTATTCAATTTATTTGTTCTCTAATTATGATTAAAATTATTCACTTTACTCATTGAATATATACATAAATAAAAATTAGTATATTTATTCATAAAACAATAAATATATAAATTTAATAAGTAATCCTTTCTTTTTTTAGATAAGCTTCTAGTGTCTGAGTATCATTTATTTTGAAAATGTAAGGAGCAATTTTCTCACCTTGTTCTTTCTTCAAAATACTTCTGATAGTACTATAATTCTTGGGTTCTATAATAGACCTAATGTAAATTAGTTTCATATTAACTATTTTTATATAGAGTAGTTCTATATATCACTTAAGATGACAAATGGGATATTATAAAACTGTTAATTATAATCACATTATGAAATGACTAAATTTTGAACCCTGAAATTCTTGGTAATACCAATGTTCACTTTGTCTGGTTTTGTTGCAGCATGTCCCATATATCTATGCGTTATAAAAAATTTTTTGATTATATAATTATTACATTTTTCTATTCATTAATATGATCTTTAATTAATAAAATCTTTAATATTAAGATTGCTTTAGACTTAGCAATAGTTCACATTTTTAGTAGTAAGAATAATATTTTATTTATAAATAAGATTAGCAAATTTACTTAAGTAATATCTTAAGGTCATTTAATAATGAAAAAATATAAGATTTTAATATATTTTTAATAAAATTTAAAATGATATTAATATACTTAATAAATTTTAAATTATTTTTTATTTATTTAATTATTCAATATATCACTACAAATTTTTGTATTTTTTAATTATTTTTCTAATTATTTAATATATTCTCATAAATTTATTTTTTAATTATTTAATATTACTTTTCATGAATTTTGAATTATTTTAATTACTATATTTATAATTACTAAATTTATTTATTATTTTAATATTATTTTTTAGGTTTTTTAATTAATTATTTTTAATTTTAGTTAATTTTAATTAATTTTAAATATTTTATTTTTATTTTTTCATAAATAATTTAATTAGTTTTATTAAATTTTATTATTTTTTTTTCTTTTTTTTTCTTTTATCTTTTATTTTCTTTTAATTTTAAAATTTTTTTATTATTTTATTATTTTTATTCTTCCATAAATGATTTAATTAATTTTTTTAATTTTTTATTTTTTATAAGAATGATTTAATAAGAAGAAAATTAAAATATAAAATAAAATTAGATAAAGGAAAATAATTATTTAAGATAAGTTAATTTAAAAAGAATATTTTAATACAGTAGTGGTCATAAGTATCTTACCGCCTCTAACTCTGACTACAAGTAAGTAAATTCAAAATTTTTTTTATTTAAAAAATACATAATCAACTAACTAAAATTAATACATTATGTAGTTACCATCTGACTCTATAAGTGCAGCTATATGCCTTTTCATATTAGCTACTAAATTTATGACAAATACAGGTAATAATCAATTTTATTCTTTTGTAAGTTTTTCCTTTAATCCTCTAATTAATCAAATTTTTTTTTTGTATATTAATTTTTATTAACCTCTAAATGTTTTCTATAGGATTTTAATCTAAAGACATTAATAGCTAAAAAAGTACCTCAATACTATTTTTTTCCTTCTATTTTTTTACAATTTTTGATTGATGCTTTAGATCATTATCTTCTTGCAAAATCCAATCTATATTATCTTTATCAAAATGTTTAGAGGTGGAAGCTAGAAGACCCTACTCATAAATAGTATACATAAATTCAGTATTAAAGTTTCTTTAAAGCAAAATAACTTACCAAATCCAGAAGTAGAAAAATATCTCTAAATATGAACTTTTAGTGAATGCTTAACAGAATGAAACACTTTTTTTTTGTCAAACCTTTTTTTGATGTATATAATTAAAATGTACTCTCATCTATAAAACAACTCGATTTTAATCAAAATTCTTATGTTTTTTTGCCTATTGCAACCTTTCTTTTAATAGTTTTCTTTAAGCAAAAGTTTAGAAATTTTATTACTAAACTTTTCTTTAGATTTACGAAGACGTTACCTTACTGTTTCTATACTAAGTCTAATACCTTTTTCTTCTATTTTTTCTTGTATTTGAATGGCTGTTATATTATATTCTTTCTCTGCCATCTTTATAATCTTGTCATTTTGTTTCGTGATGATTACACAAGGTTGCCTTGATCTTTCTGAAGTACTTAAGTCCTAATTTTTATGATATCTTTTAATACAATAAATAATTGTAGGCTTACTATAATATATCTATTTAGCAACAAATCTAAAACTAAACTTTAGACCAGCTGAATGCTCGCGTAAAAGATAATTTCATATTATTTTTTAAAGAAAGCTCTATTTTTTAAGCGAAAGTTTGATGATCATCTAAATTTTTTTTTGTATCATTGACTCTATAAATTTACTGATAATCATATATTATTTTACATTATATTTCTGAAAAATTTAAGAAGTAGTTATATAATAATTTTTGACAATTTCAGACGGTCAGATACTTATGACCGCTACTGTAAAATAGATAATTATATAAATAGTTTAATTTAGTAAATTATTTATTAGATTAATTTAGAAAAATTAAAATAAAGAAATATTATAATACAAAGGATAAACAAAAGTATTTGCACACTTTTTCACTCAATATAAAACTTAAAATTTTTTGCAATAACAATAAAAGGTCAATTGATTTTTTATTTAAAGACGATTAATATCTACATTTTGTATTAAGTAACCAGTACTAGTTGGGCTATTATTTATCATAATCACAGCTTAAATTCATTATAACATACCATCAACTAGGTTTTCAATAGTATACTTCTGAATATTTGTTATATCTTTTTAACATATCAATTAAATTAGATAGAGTTTTTTTTTAAACTCAGATGTTTTTCTTAACTTTAATTCAAAGATTTTTAATTAGATTAAGATCAGAACTTTAAACAGGCTAAGATAATATATGAAGATTATTTTTCACTTGAAAAATCATTGCAGTTAATTTCTTAGTTTTTACTATTATTTTTTAGATTTTCAAAGAAAAAAAATTTATTAAAAAAAACAAATTGTTATTCTTTTATTTTTATAATATAAATAAATACTTAAGTATCATATAAACGTAATTTGTTATTATAGTCATATAACTTTATTAGCATTAATTTACATTTATAAAGAGTATGTAGATATTTTGTCTATTTTCTATATAATGAATTTAAATTAAAGTTATTAAAAAGAGAATTAAAGGAGAAAATAGAAGAAAAAAATAAGTAACAATTAAAGTAATAAAAAATATAAAAATAATAAATATAATAGGAGTAAGATTTTTGTTTAAACTCATTTTGAATTGATAAAATGTTTAAACTTAGTTTTATTAATTTTTTTATTAAGATTTTAATATAGTTTCGCATTTTATAAATTTAATATAGTTTTATCTTTTCTAGAGTTTTGTAGCTTTTTTAATAAGATTTTAATATAATTTTACTAAATTTTATTTTTTATCATTTAGATAATTTATAAAACTTCTAATTTTTACCTAGTAATCTAAATAAAAGTAATTTTAAAATAAGTTAAAAAGATCATTATATTAAGAGTAAAGTTTAGTAAAAAATTAAAGAAGATCATCTTTAATTTATTAATTATATAATCATAATTATAATGTGAAATAATAATAAAGTAAGTTTATAAATTTTAATAAATAGAAAAAAATAATAGATTTATTCTAATTCTTAATAAATGTATGTATATTTTCTAAGTAAAATTCTTTATGTGTAAATATACCGAGTATAATAGTGATGTAATTTTATTAATATGTAATATAACTACTATTTATTTAAATAATTATATATATAATGAATAGTATTCAATATTAATAGCTACTATTTAATCATTTTGATTTTATATATAAATCAATTTTATTTCTTCTTATAATATCAATAATTTAGTTATTATTAAAGTTACTTATCTAAAACTCATTTTAGATTAATTTTTTCTATTTACTATTTAAATGATTTACAAAATCTTTAAGTTTTATCAATAATCTTAGTTATCACAATTATTACTTTCTAGTTCTTTTAGTAATAATTAATATTTTTGTAATTTTTATATTAAATATTATTTTTTATTACAAGTTTATAATCTTATAAAAAA